TATCTATGAAAGGCGTTGGAGCGCTTGTCAAGTGTAGTTTCAAACGCCGGTCAATAATCCATAGATTTTTTGCGAGTATTAAAAATTCCGGTAGTTATAAAGTGGACTTTTGTCTTTCGCCTAGTGTAAGATACGATTTTTTATCTGGTAGGGTTTATGCAAAATATTTTTCACAAGGTGGCTTACATATCTAGGCGAGGCGTTAGAGCGCTTGTCAAGTGCAGTTTCAAACGCCTGTCAATAATCCATAGATTTTTTGCGAGTATTAAAAATTCCGGTAGTTATAAAGTGGACTTTTGTCTTTCACGCAGTGTACGATGCGATTTTTTATCTGGTATAGTTTTTGCAAAATATTTTTTTCCAAGGTGGCTTACCTATCTATGAAAGGCGTTGGAGCGCTTGTCAAGTGTAGTTTCAAACGCCGGTCAATAATCCATAGATTTTTTGCGAGTATTAAAAATTCCGGTAGTTATAAAGTGGACTTTTGTCTTTCACGTAGTGTACAATGCAATTTTTTATCTGGTAGAGTTTTTGTAAAATATTTTTTCCCAAGGTGGCTTACATATCTATGCAAGGCGTTAGAGCGCTTGTCAAGTGCAGTTTCAAACGCCTGTAAATAATCCATAGATTTTTTGCGAGTATTAGAAATTCCGGTAGTTATAAAGTGGACTTTTGTCTTTCGCGTAGTGTAAGATAAGCTTTTTTATCTGGTAGGGTTTTTGCAAAATATTATTTTTCCAAGGTGGCTTAAATATCTATGAAAGGCGTTAGAGCGCTTGTCAAGTGTAGTTTCAAACGCCTGTTAATAATCCATAGATTTTTTGCGAGTATTAAAAATTCCGGTAGTTATAAAGTGGACTTTTGTCTTTCACGTAGGGTAAGATACGATTTTTTGTCTGGTAGAGTTTTTGCAAAATATTTTTTCCCAAGATGGCTTACATATCTAGGCGAGGCGTTAGAGCGCTTGTCAAGTGTAGTTTCAAACGCCTGTAAATAATCCATCGAATTGTTGCGAGTATTAAAAATACCGGTAGTTATAAAGTGGACTTTTGTCTTTCACGTAGTGTAAGATACGATTTTTTATCTGGTAGAGTTTTTGTAAAACATTTTTCCCAAGGTGGCTTACATATCTATGCAAGGCGTTAGAGCGCTTGTCAAGTGCAGTTTCAAACGCCGGTCAATAATCCATAGATTTTTTGCGAGTATTGAAAATTCCGGTAGTTATAAAGTGGACTTTTGTCTTTCACATAGTGTAACATACGATTTTTTATCTGGTAGAGTTTTTGCAAAATATTTTTTTCCAAGGTGGCTTACATATCTACGCGAGGCGTTAGAGCGCTTGTCAAGTGTAGTTTCAAACGCCTGTCAACAATCCATAGATTTGTTGCGAGCATTAAAAATTCCG